ACCAAGAGGAATTAGAATTAATTAATTAGGAGGAAGGACAACAAAGATAGTAACGTAGCCTGCCCTTAAAGAAAGATTCAAACCAAATTACTGGTTAACTCACCTGAATGCCAATAACTGTCACTATGAGACACAAAACTAGGTCACTCCAAGATAAGGAAAAGGTGGGAAATACAACAACAGACTCCAAAGCTACTAAGAGCTAGAGAACAGACCTACAGTTCTTACCTAGTGGTCTCCATGTAGGCATGAAGACACTAAAATTCCCTAAGAAAGAGAACTGGTTGGGACAGTGAGGGAATGGGAGAAAGAGACGATCGAGGAATGAGGGAATGGAGAACACGTGAAAGAGAAAAGCTAGTAGCCAGATGATGGGGAAATAATTTTCAGCAGGATTTCAGAATTTTGTACCTGATGAAAAGAGAATAATTAAAGGTAGAGTGATAGCTAAAGAGGAGGAGACAATGTGCCTGTGCTGAGGTGGTCGCGGAGCAGAGTGCAGCTGCAGAGGAAGCAGACGGAGATGGACATGGAGAGGAGAGCGAGATGCTGGTCTTCAATAAGAAAAGAGGCTTCGCTACTGATGCACAAGGGGGATGATCTATCTACCTAGATATTTATTTGCCATAAAATAGAAAAGGAAGATGACCAAACACATTCTATGAAGCCAGTATCACTGTTATATACAAGTTGGACAAGGACACAATGAAAACCAAAAATTATGTTTATTTCCTTGATGAACACGGATACAAAATTTCAATAATACTTGCAAATGTAACACAACATTAAAATGATCATCAGAAAGATTTTTTTAATTTTAGATATTCAAGGATTTTCAACACATGCAAATCAATACTTATTACAGCACATAAACAGCATAACAAAATCTGCGATCTTAACGGATTCAGAAAAAGCCTTTGACAAAATTCAAGGTTCCTTCATGATAAAAGCTTTGAAGAAACTAGTAACAGAAAGAATGGACCTTAATATAATAAAGTTTATGAAACCCTTTTCTTTAACGTAGAATGGAGACAGTGTCTGCTCACTCCACTGTCATTCAAATTAGGGCTTAAACTCCCAGATGAGCAATAAGGCAAGAGAAAAAATTTAAAGCGATACAAACTAAAGGGACAAGTCAATTTATTCTCATTTGAATACGTTATGATCCTCTACATAAAAGATTCTACCAAAAAACTCTTAGATCTGATAAAGACTTTTGGCAAAGTAGAGTAGTGGCAAACATAGAAAAAAAATCAACATCCAAAATCATAAATACCAACAATTCACAGGCTGAGAAACAAATCAGTAAAACAACCTCATTTACAATATTCCCCCCAAAACAAACAATAAAGAAAAGTAGGAAGAAATGTCACTAAGGAGGTGGGAAAACCTCTATAATGAAAACTATAAAACACTGAAGAAAGAAGGCATTAAAAGATGGAAAGACCGCCTGTGCTTATGAATTAGTACAAAAATATTGTAAAAAGGGCTACACTACTGAAAGCAATCTACAAATTCAATGCAATCTCCACCAAAATTAAAATGCATTTTTCATAGAAACTGAAAAATCATCTAAAAAATTCGTATGGAAGCACAAAGACCCAAATAATCTAATCCAGAACTAAAAAAACAATTTTGGATGTATCATAATTATTGACTTCAAGTTATATTATAGACCCATAATAACAAAAATAGCACAAAGAGCAATGGCATAGACAAAAACAACTTGAAATAAGCCTATACAGCTACAATCATCTGGCTTTTTTTTTTTTTTTTGCCAGTCCTGGGGCTTGAACTCAGGGTCTGGGCACTGTCCCTGAGCTTCTTTTGCTCAAGGTTAGCACTCTACCACTTGATCCACACACAGCACCATTTCCAGCTTTTTCTGTTTGTGTGGTACCGAGAATCAAACCCAGGGCTTCAGGCATACTAGGCAAGCACTCTACCACTAAGCCACATTCCCAGCCCTACCATCTGACTCTTACTAAAGGCAAAAAAAACACTATTAGTGAAAAGACAGTCCTTTCAAAAATGGTGCTAGAAAAACTGGATAGCTACATGTCGAAGACAGAGGCTAGATCTGTATTTCTCATCCAGTAAAACAATTAATTTAAAATGAATCAAAACCTTAATGTAAGGCCTGAAACTTGTTAACTACTAGAGGGAAAATACTAGAAGAAATAGGAATAGGAAATGACTTTCTGAATAGCACTCTCATTGTTCAAGAAATAAAAGCAAGAACTGACAAATGGGATTGCGTCAAATTAAAAAGCTTCTGTACATCAAAGAAACTATTACTAGAATGAAGAGATGGTACACAGAAAGGCAGAAAAACCTTTGTCAGCTTTTCATTAAAGGATTAACATCCTGAATATATGTTCAACATTCTTAGCCATAAAGGAAACAACACTGGGATGCCATCTTAACCCAGTGAGAATGACAACTATCAAGAAAGCAAACACACAAATGAGGGAGATAAATGGGGTAAGGGGCTTATATATGGTTGATGGGAATGTCAGTGCAACCACTATGGAAATCAATATGGAGGTTCTAATAACAATAACAAAAAAGAACTACCATATGCTCCTGCTCTAACACTCTTAAGTATATATAATATACAACAGAAATAGTTGCATGCACATATTTGTTACAACACTAATTCATAATAGCTAAGCTATGGAATCATCCCAGGTGCCTGACAATTGATGAATGGAGGATGTAATAGATATACACAGTAAGGACTATTCAATCATGAAGAATGAGCCAGATACCAGTGGCTCACCTGTAATCCTAACTACACAGGAGTCTGAGAGCTTAGACTCACAGTCCAAAGGCAGTCTAGGCAAGCAAGAAAGTCTAACTCTTATTTCCAATAAAATACTAAAAAAAAAATGTGGAAGTGGAGCTGTGGCTCAAATGGTAGAGTGCTAGCCTTGAGCAAAAGAAGCTCAAGGACAGTATCTAGGACCTGAGTTCAAGCTCCAGGACCAGTACAAAAAAAGAAAAAGAAAAAAGAAAAGAAAGAATGAAATAGTATTGTTGGAAGAAAATTGATCAAACTCAAGATCATCAGGTTGAGATAATCCAAGATGAGAAAGATTTGTTCAGGAATATAGACAATAATAATAAACTGACAAAGAAAGACTGGCGGCTAGCAGGAGGTTAGGAGGGAAAAGGAGGGTAAATTAGGTCAAAATAAACACAAACATACACATACATTTCACTTGCAGGAAAACAACATAATAAAACCCACAAAATACTGAGGGGAAGGAGGCTTAGCAACAGTAGAATCAGATGGGGAAAATTTGCATGTATGTAAACATTATATGCATGTATGAAAACATTATAATAAACTTTCTCTGTACAACTAGTTTGTCTAATAAAAATTTTAAGAAAAACCTCTAAAATTCCTTATAAGGAGAATGATTCAAAATGACTAAAATCCCTCCTCATTTTAGGGAGGGGAACAAGATATAAGGCATAACAGCTTAAATGTGAGTTGCCTTCACCCCTTACTAGGAAGGAAACCTATCTAGGCAGTTTGAGAGCCACATTCTCAGCTGTTAAACTTGGAGGAAGTCAATGCAATTCACCTGTTGCTTAAGACATATCATACTACATGACTTAAAGGCTCCAGGAATACTTTCTACTGGAACTGAGACTTGCAGATAATAAATAGTTCTGGGGTAAGTTCCATTTATCAAATACCAAAGAAAGTTCCTACTGAAGAATTTGAATTCAATCTGTCAAAGCCCTTTGACTTATGATTTTACTTTATATTTTTTTAATTTTTCTTCACAGCTGTGCAAAAGTGTGCCCATATAACCTTTAATTAACTTTTTATACCATATTTAATACATTACATGAGCTATTCAACACTTTCATAAAATTAGTTTGTGTTAGGTGATTCTACCCAATGTAGACTAATGTAAGTAGGAATTCTGAGCATACTTAAGGACTTGAATTCATGCATTTGAATGCTAAGGATGGAGCTCTACCATCTGAGCTATTCTTTTTTTTTTTTTTTCTGGTCAGTCGTGGGGTTTGAACTCTGGGCGTGGACACTGTTCCTGCGCTCTTCAGCTCAAGGTGAGCACTCTACCGCTTGAGCCACAGCGCCACTTCCAGTTTTCTAGTGGTTTATTGGAGATAAAAGTCTCACAGACTTTCCTGCCCCGGCTGGCTTTGAACCACAATCCTCAGATCTCAGCCTCCTGAGTAGCTAGGATTACAGGCGAGAGTCACTGGTGTCTGGCTCCACCTGAGCTATTTTTCTAGCTCCTGTACTTCTCTTATTTTACACTCATGCTTAAACTGTTTCTAATCCATGTGCAATTCTAACTAATTTATATTAGGTCCACCTTGTCAAAATATTACTTTAAACACCAATGCAGCAAATGTCAAACTTATCTATAGCACCAATAACAATTTCTAACTTATTTTCTTTTGCTTTAAGTAATTTTGCTGGCATTGATAATAAAGAAATGAATGATAAAGTTGAAGATATACATTTCCAATTTATTTGTCTGTGCAATATTAGACAGAATCTTTGGCCTTTTTGAACCCTTATATGTTTAACTAAAGAGAACACAACCAATTCTTGGCTATGTAACTAGGAAATAGGGGAGCAGGCCATAGAAAAACATGATTAAAACAGAACTAGTCACTGCTTATTAAGTTGATAATTTAAAAACTCTATGGACTATCCATATTGGATATGAAAGAAAAAAATGACTTCAGAAGTAAGAAGAAACAGCAAAGGAACTCTTGTTTCTGGCAACAAAGTTTTCAGTCCCAGTGATGGCCAGAACCAGCTGTGCTATGTTACAGCAGGAATCTTGGCTTTCATTGCCCATTTCTGCATACCCAATACCCAGAACCTGAATGTGCATCAAAGGTGCTCAGTGTCTGTTGAATAGAAGGAAGAACAGAACAAGAAAAGAAGGTCAGGGAGCTTTCTATCTTGTTGAGCTGCTGGATCTGTGGAAGAAAATGGTGGCCCAATCTATTTGATTACCTTTTTGAGTGATCAGAAATTGACAGAACACTTGAAATTTGAAAATTATCCTGAATTCTCACTGAGTATATAGCAATAAAAGAGATACGTTCTTTTTTTTTTTTTTTTACTTGGCCCACTCTCACTAGATACCAGGAGGCTGCAGTCACTGTGCCACCTTGTGGTCATGTCTAGAAAGTTCGCTTTCTTCAATAGACGTATCTGCACAAAGACACGGTAAATGAGCTTTAAGAACAAATTTAAAGACAACAAATCTCTGGCCTAGATATATCACTAAATAGCAAAGTATCTTGGAGAACACAACTTCTACCATCAAGAAGCCTGTAGTCTATTAGGACAGGTATCCCAAAACAATGTTTATTATTGAAAACCTAAACTAGAGGGTAAAAAATGCCAGAAATTAAGTACAGGCTAGGTACAATGAAAACTCACAAAAAGAAAAGGTTCTTCCAAGCTTCAGAGAAGAGGAGGAAGAGCCAGATGAACCGAGTAGAGGGAGGTGAGGCATTCAGTCATGCAAGTGAGGATGGAGCATTGGATAGTGGGTGGCAAACACAACAGCAGAGCAGGGCAGAAATGGGGGTGTGCAGACCAAGGGAGGAATTAGGACTCCCTTGGTTGAAGCTGATGGTGTCTTAAAAAAGGAGTGGCGAGTGTGGCTGTGGAAAACCAGGCTGGGAGAAAAGACATTGCTAGAGGTCCACTTCTTTTTCACGTTTTAGCAGAAGGGATAGTTTGCTCAGCTATAAAATGAGGTAATCAATATCCACTGATTTGTTTAGAGTAGAAAAACGGTATTGGGTATAAAGCACATACTACAAAGAGTAACATTTAGTGAGAAGTTTACCAGTGTTAAGCAATACTCAGTAAGGTGACAATCTTGAAGAAGGAATGAAGGCTTGAAAAGAGTGAGAGATGGGATGTTGTCGACAAGTGGTAGAACACTGACTTAGCATGCATGAGGCTCCAGGTTGGATCCTCAGCACACACACACACACAAATAATAAAGAGCAGGCTTAGCGGAAGAAAATGTGGTCTGAGGCCAAGACATGCGACATCACAGAAGTGTGGAGAAGGAGCCGAGAGTGGGGGAAAAAAAGAGGAGCCCCACTGCTCAGAGTAGACAGAGCAGGGAGATTGGTAGAAAGGAGACCTTGAGAAGTTGTTCTGCCTTGGGAGCAGAATTCAGGAAATATGTGAAGGAGAAGACAGCAATCTGGATAAACTGCGCCTGCTTGGTTTAGGTACAGACAGGCTTTTGGTAATATTGGAAAGCACTGTCTAAGGTGAACTAGCACAGAGTCTGGAGGAAGGAGTGTCACGGGACAGTCTGGAAGAACTAAGTACTCCTGTCTCCTTAGAATTCTGTCCATCAAAGGAGAAGGTATAGAAAGAAGGGAGAGAGCTGTCACTATTTTTCTTTGAAAGATGGCAGATATACAACATGTGTAATTGCTGCTGGGATAGATCAAGTGGAGAAGGAAATGCAGGTTAATGGATTAGAGAAGATGGGGGCACATAGTACAAGAATGGAAAGGGGGAAGACTAGGATGGTGCAGATGCTGAACTCAAGAATATTAACTGCCACAGAGAGTAAATAATTTGCTTCAGAGAGGAGATGACACATGACAATGGCATACTAAGCATGAATAGGTGTTGACCAGTGGACAAAAAGAGGTGAAGAGAAGGAGCAAGGGCAAGAAGGGAAAATAGAATGATAAGAGCCTGGTGCTATAGGGGCAAAAGGACAGGACAGAATGTCCTCAACACACTGAGTAAGCTAGCTGGAGCTAGACTCACTGACCTACTTTACCAGGCTACTTCCACATTACCCAGCAATCTTACTGTTGCCCAGTCATCTTGAGGTCCAAGCAAAAGGCAGGGTGGGCTGGAGGTGTGGCGCAAGTGGAAGACTGCCAGCCTAGTAAGTGGAAGGTCCTTAAGTTGAAACACCAATGACAAGATAAAAAAAAGAGAGAGCAAAAATAGCAAGGAGAGGGGACATATTTCAGGGTGGAGAGAAGTGAAGTAACTATCAAGGGTAGTGGATGGAGTTGAACAAACTACGGCACTAGCCAGAGCCAACTTGTGGGTAGGAAACAAGACCAGAGGGAACCCACAGAGCAAAAGAGAGATGTGAAAGTTTAAAGTATGATGAGCAGAGGTAAAGGTTACAGGCTGTGATTTGTAAGGACCATTTAGAGTTCATATTCACAGGGTGAATATTCTTTCCAAGCAATGATGGTATGCTGTAAAGCATTATGTGAATGTGAGGTATTTTTAGTATGTACTGTTATTTCAGAGCATCTTGATTATGACTTGGGAATAGTCCTAATACTTCAGATTTCTCAACTGACATCTCTCAGATGGTTGAGGTGCCAATTTGATCTTTTAAAAAAATTTTTAAAGAAAAGTGACTTGTTGGGTGATTACCCAAAGTATATACTTATCTGCTTTGTAACATCTAATTATTTCATTTCAGAAGGGAGGTTTTCCCCTCACCATGAACTTATAATATTAATATAAAATATCAAAGTCAACGATCATAAAGATGGAGAAGGAAACACAGAAAGGAGGAACACAGGTTCTAAAGAACCAAAGCTGAAGTTGCAAATCCACATACACCATGAACTTTTTATTGAAGTATGTATAGTGCACCTCTAGTACTAGTATCTGAGAGAAGATGATTAGGTTAGTACTAGGACTTTTGGTATAGGGAAGGTTAGCAGCTCTGGATTAAAGGAAAATGTAATGACAGAGGCAAGAGGTAACTACTAAGAAGGGAAAACCTATGAAAAGTAGCACAGAAAAGATAAATAAAAAAAAGCTTTAGACAACTGGAAAGGTTTCTTTAGGTGACTGTGGCCTATACTGGGGAAGTTTAAGAAATGGGAACCCCTAGGTGCCACTAGTGACTGCAAGTCTTTCTTGGTGATCCACATGGCCATACAACTACCAAGACAAACAAAACAAAACAAAAAGGGTATCTTTCTGCCGACTCATTTCACAACTGGGGAAACAAAGAGGCACATAAAGGTTTATGCCTGAAAAAAAATAACAGATGCACATAAAGGTTTATGCACAAGGCATTCATCATTGCATTAAGAGTGGGAACAACCTCCACGGTCAATAATAAATAATCTGGTGGTTATCCACATGAATTTAGCTATTGAGAAATCTAAGGAAGTACAGGGGAAGCAATCCTTCTACAACACCAAGTTTTAAAAAAGTAGGATAGAGAACAATGATTTCAATTGTTTTTACAAGTACTACACGCTTCTAAGGAGAAAAGGAAATATTTATTATTTTATGTATATTTCAAATGAGAATCCTAATACGGCACCAGAAATAGAATACTATATAGCCATAGTAATACAGTAATAATTATATTCATTTACTATATTCATGTCGATGGCCTCTTGATTGCTTGCTTATGTATCTTAATTCAGTATTTACTTCTTCTGTGTTTTTTCTCACCTCCTCATTCAAGAAGAATATAACATATTGAGAAGCAAAGAAGCAGAATTTCAATCTTTTGTGTGGGACGGGGGAGGAGTGGATACTAGAGTTTGAACTTGGGGCTCTGCGCTTGCTAATCAGACACTAATAACATTTGAGACAAACTCCCAGTCCCAGAACCTGAACCTAATAAAGAGGCCAAGTCTCTAATTGTTCATGTCTTTAATTGTAACCATTCAGGAGGCAGAAATTGGGAGGATCACTGTTCAAAACCTTCATTTCTATCTAGAGCTGGGTGTGCTGGCACATGTTGCCCCCTCCCCCACTACAGCAGAATATATAAAGAGGAGGATCATGGTACATGGAAGCCCAGGCAGAAAGGTCTAGAAGTATGGCTCAAGTAGTAAAGTGCCTGCCTAGTAATCACAAAGCCCCATGTTCAAAATGCTACATTGCCAAAAAGTTTATGTATAATATTCAGCAAATGTTAAGACACTGGGCGGGGGGGAATAAGAAGCAATAACCTGTGGAGTCAATAAAGACTTAAGGGAAACATCTACTAATTGTTCAATATAAATTTTATTATACTGGAATCATGCAATTGCTTAAAAAAAAGGAGACAACCATGAAGATATTAGATATTGACAATGTTAAGGAATTTTACTTTGGGGGGGATGAAAAATAATTACCTTGTGAAGTCTGCACTTTTTGAAAATACTATATAATATCTATTATATATTCATTCATACATATACATAATACATAGGGCATGAAATAATTTGCACATCAAAATGATCCACAGGAAAGGGATGTACATGGGTTGTGGCATAGTCAAAATACGATTGTCCATTGAGGTGATACTGGTTATGGATATGAGTAGTCCTCCTATTCTGTTATTATATATCTTCAAAATATTCCATAATAAGACATTAAATTTATCTCTATAGGCAGCACTATACTTAATCCTACACAATAAATATGCATGTAATTGTATTATGAACTTTGTGGGTGCTCAATAAAAATTGGGTGACAGTTGAAGAGACAGACATAATTTACTTACAAGTATATGATGCTTACAACTTTTGGGAAACAGACATGATCATTTTAAACACTTTGACCCTGCTGCATAGGTCACAGGCTAGTCACCAATATACCACTCTATTGAAGCCAAATAGTGTTTTAACAGAGTAACAAATAATTTTACTAGTTGTTGCCTTTGTCAATATATAAATTATTTTTAGCAACAAATATTCTTCAGAAGAATTTTACCTTTTAGGCTGGCTAGCAGTCATTTTGTATACAATGACTGGGTGATTTTTAACTCTAGTAAGAATGAGGGATAAATGAGTGTAGAAAGATTAAAGAGCTATTGTCAGGCTACTGGGTTCCCATTCTGTGAGAAGAGTAGGTAGACAGAAGAGCATGTAGACAGAAAACCACTTGCTGAACTTGGCAGTAGTGTATGTGCATGCATGTGCATACATGGGTGTGTATGTATGAAGAGGCTTTTGCCAAGCAGGACCCTGACC